ACTCCGCTGACCATGTGGAGTGCGTCCAAGTGAGACTTGACCCAGCTCATCGATACAGCCTTGAGTGGGATCCGACTGGCGTTCAAATGAGGCTGAGTGTTATTTCTCAAGATTCAAATGCAGAGGGGAAGAAAAGTGCCCCTTCACGACAGAAAACAGAACCAGAATACGTTTAAGAAGTGCTCATCGTGTGCAGAAGCCGGGCAAGTAACAATCTATCGAACTGTACACGTGATAGATTTAAAATTGTGATTCATCAATCATTTTCGCTCGCGAACGGTTGACCGTGTTTATCCTAGCTCAAACTAGGGAGTATCCGGTGATATACCCCGAGTGATATTCCCTAATTTGCAAACCTTACGTCCACCACGATAAAAGTCTTCATTCAAGATGAAAGCGTGTAGCTGTTGTCACATAAGAAAGGACATGCGTTTTCGTTCACAAAGTCGAACGAGAGAACTCTCAGAAGTAGACATCCCACACGCAGCAAACAGTAAGCTATACGTTAACATTTTTTTCCAGTGTGTTGCGAAAATGTTTGATGGATAATAGTCACATTAGGCTTCATTTGGCGCGAAAAGATGCTCGTGCATTTTTCTTTGGACATTAAACAAACTGTTCGCATCTCGGAAGAGATGATGTCCTCGGACAAAAACCCGAACATATTTTCGCCGTAAATGGAAGCTATTGTTTACATAAACGCGCATTCGGTTAAAATTCATCCAAATTATAAGTTATATTTATATCAAAAGTGTTTCTAGAGGACACGAAGTAAACAACATAAATTCTTAGCCAAGCGACGTTCAAAGTATCGTTTATCTCGTAGTATAGTAGCGTTTATCTCGAATACTTGTTTTTGTAGTTATTTGCGAAAAAAGGTTGAAGTTTTACGTTTTCGATTGGTGCTTCAATCCTCTACAAATACTAAACAAAAAACCCCTCCTTTAATAAAATGGATGCGACAACTTCAAAATTTTCCCCCTGCTAACATTGCTGAGGGGGAGAGAAGGGAATAGGGAATCAAAGAAGGCGAGTGAGGTTGTTTAAAATTTGCATTTATTCAAAATATGTGCAATTAGAGCCAGCGTTCAAGCAATTTTGTCGAAGTTTGGATAATTTATTCGAGTTGAAAAAACAAACAACCGCATTTCTCTAAGAGAAGTATTTGTTCGATTCATTTGAATCGCCTTTTAATTTGAACGTTTTCAAAATTAAATGGTATCTGTTAAGATACATTTTTAAGTATTTGGAATTTCCAGACATTTTAGGTTCACTCATTAATAAATTTATCATTTCGGTCGTATTAACGAGTTGTGCGCACCAATTATATAATTCATAACTTTAAAACAATAGCTTGGTTTTAACGAGCTACTAAGTAGTGGAGAAATTTCCAAAACTAACAGATTACACGACAGTGTAACTAGACAAGTTTTTCTTTAAGGAAACGCTTCAACACTTCGTCTACACTGAAAGTTCTGACTCGATGAGTAGTAGAGTTAAAAGACTTGTTTTGTATTCGAAGATGATTGAAAGAACTTATGAACAATTTAACCAAGCAACCCAAAGTCTACTCGGTCAACAGCTGAGAAAGACAAAAAACTCCAAGTTGGCTTTCGAATCCTTTATAGGAAAGGAAAACGAAGACTTCGTTCACTTGAACTAGACTTCTCTCGTATTTCTGGCTCAACACGAGGTATACCACATCAATCACATAGACATCTGTATCGTAAATTTTCTTATTTCCATCCGTAGCGAACATACGTGTTATGAGTAGGTAGTGACAAGCGCACTGACCGCATTTCGTTTGAAATATTTTGTAAGTTATACCTTAAGTTATTACGAAAGAGCGTGTTGTATATATATAAAAGTAACAACTTTAAGACTAAGTATTGAGTAATATATGAACTGGAATTGTCTAGGATAAATATTTATGCAACGAAGTTTAAAAGTAAAATCCATTGTAAAACATTCACACTTTCCATTTAGCATTTATTTTTCAATGTTTTCAAACTAAGACTGCCCCCAAGCAGTGCCAGACAACTGACTTCCGAGTTAGCCGCGCTAATACATCGACACCGTGGTTACGTATTTCCCGCGGTTTGCACTGTTCACTCGCTTGACTACGGTCATGAATTTTCCATTTAGCACATTGACACAATAGTCATGAACTCCCCGCGCTTAGCAAAGTTTCCCTGCTTGACTCTGGTTCGGTGTTTTCATACGCGTGTCACAAGCTCCATGTTACCGAGATTCTTACTCCATCACCTGTTTGTCACTGGTTCCATGTTACCGAGTTTACAACGCGTCCCGTCTTCGTCACTTGTTCCATGGTACGAAGTATACAACACTTCAAGTGTTTGTCACAGGTTCCATGCTACCAGTGACACATTTGGTTCCATGTGACTTTGACACTTGGTCAGGCATTTCCCCGCACTCAGCACTATTCCCTTGCATGATATGACACAGCCTTAGGAGCGAGTAGTCACGTGTTCCCTGTATTTTCCGTATATTTGATACCTTTTTCCGCACCTGGCATCTGTTAAATGACCAATCACGACATTAAAGATCGTAACTTTGGCGATGCGAAATTTCCAAACAATCTTTTTCCTTATCTCTCTTCGGGAAGACTCAGCTCGAGAAATATAATAGATATAACAAACCACTGGAATGTCAAATATAAATCTTGAACTCAGCAGCGGACCGCGACCCAGCGGAATGACGAGTAACCTTCCGTCCAGCTGAGGTGGAAACTGTCACCTGATCACGTTGCAACAGTAACTCAACCAAAGAATTCAGAAAAGGAGCCACTTCCTAAGAACAGAGGAGGATTATTTAAGTGTCATTCGCCTCCCATAGATCTGCATAATGTTTTTTTTTTGTCTTTTTGCTTTTTTCATAGACCGAGACAAGTCTGGGGCCCTTAAAAAACTGCGGGAAATATTTCGTAATCTATTTCTCATTCTCTTGATTTCACGCCGAACCAAAAATAAACTAAATTCTACCCTTAATGGAGAAGAAAGAAAGACGGTATCAATAATGAGCTCCAGCGCGAGTTTTCACGTTTCTAAATTTAGTTTTTTTACGCATGTTTGATGCCAGGCGAATTATAACAATTATAACAAGACAGACCCAGTTATTACAGCAAAAGAAGTGAAAGACATTGGCAATTTTTCAAGGACCTTTCTGTTAACAGGCATATTTTCGTCTTTCAGGTTTACCACTAAACCCCTGAAAAAAAACTCGCAGATAATTCTGGATCAGCCTAAATGCTATAATCGGCTTTGGAAAAACCACAGCCACAAGTGTACGACTTCCTAACGTTAATCGATTAAGCTCAGAAGCCATTAAAGTTAATCCCAATTGATTTTACGTCAGGCTTGATAAGCTGTTCACCATCCTTTCTTCCCCATGACCTCCTTGCATTTACAGAGCATTCCGTGTTTTCACCCATCATTTCATCACAAACATACACACATTGTTTGCGCTTATTGCGCTTCCCTCTCCCAAGATCTCACCAGTAATTCTCCTTACTCCATGCCATACAACTACTATAATGAAAGTTCGGAGAATTTGGCATTGGTTCAACCAATAAGATAATCCCCTAATTCAATTGTTTCTTTAATCTCATCTCTTGTTTGGTTGATATTGTACTGATATTGTAATGAGAAATTCTGTTTTGGTCACACATGGGAGTTCAAGGGTTAATCGTCACCTTTCGAGGTGTGATTACAGAAATTCTTCTTTACAGTTACCACATTTTCCTTGAAAAACAGTTGAGAGAATTTGGCTCACTATGAAGGAAACACCCTCCAGTTGACAAGTTTTTAAATTCTCATTTCCTCTCTGCTGCATATTGTCTTGAGATAATTGGGAGAAGTTACATGTTGATCTTCTGTAACTACGGGCCCTCTTACCATGACTCCCGCCCGTCCGTCCAAGGTGCGACTATCTGCCAGTCGTTTACCAGTAACATTTGCAATTCGTAGCACAGGAACTTGCCATTGTTCTTCAAACTCTCGAATTTCCTGTTCTGTGAAATCACTGTTCAAGATCTGGTCCAGTTTGTTTCAAGTTAAGGTCGCTGTCAAACCACAAAATCCCCAAGAAGATCGCTGCATCGTCTTTAAGCTTAAAAAGTGGATTATTGTTAATCAGGATTAAGTGCGAATGCATGGGCTTCAGTTCGTAATCGTATTTTTTGAAGTGTTTCTCACTAATCACATTCAGACAAAACAATTGACTTGATTGGTCAAAGAGCACGCTTAAGTCCAGGACCTACAGATCGAAAATTCCGTCGATAACATTTTAGAAACCACTTAAAACAAGACTTAAAAGATAGCCTGGAATGCTTAATATATCAATTGTTGAAGAGGGATTACTTTATAGATGACATGTGTGTCAAATCCAAAACATGTACGGTTAAAACAAAAATTGACCCGGAAAACCTAATTTTAAAGCATTTTCCACCAAAACACGACATGAAAATACGGGCACGCATAGATATAACGTCTAGGATTCTTTCATTCTCAGACGATCCCAGGTGGCCCGCTTCTAGTTCACTATCAGCATATCTCAATCCCTGACGAAGTATAGGTTCGGCAAAAATACTTTATAGGTGTGGTCAAATTATTTCTATCAAAGAACGGTAATCGCTTTCTGTTTTAGTCAGAGGTCGTTGAGTTTTCCTGATTTTCACGAAATTGAGAAACAAGATAAATTGTTAAAGAATCTGAGGGAGTTGACCAGCTTGATGAAGTATTTGAAAGAAAGGATATCTAGTTGCCACAGCTATCCGCAAGATCTTCTCTTCTTGATCCAGAACGCGATTTATCTGCAGAGGAAGTATTCCACAATGAGATACCAATAATGTTTCTTTTTTATTATTATTGTTACTATTACAAAGTATTCCTAAACAAAGGAATTTCTGCAAAGAGGTATTGGATTTGAGTAACACACGAGTTTTCAGGATAAATAATCACTACCACTTGACATTGTGGTGTATCTTTAACAGAACACATAATTACATTTGCCAGGAATTTATAAATTCCCTTCAAGAAAATAATGTACATACTTTTTTTTGACTAGCTATAACAACTATCTATCTATTTTTGTCTGAAATAGCTGGAATGTTGCATTCCACTGTTCAACCAAAACTCAGATCATTAACAGACTCTCTCCCAGAACAAGAAGAGGAAGGACCTGAGTTTATCTCACTTTTAACAGACTTACCTGATTTGGCAAATCATCAAAACTTCCTCTGCAGAAAATAAATCAGATGATTCAGATGATCAGATAATTCAACCAAACATTGATAGGCTTTTCTAATTCTTTTTTTTTTTTCCAAATCTGTTGGTCACCAATTGACAACTTTCCCTGAAATTTTAGTCACCAGATATATTTTCTATTTGCCATGGCAACAAAACTAATTGCAGCTTGGAATCCTGATTTGTAAACCACTCAAAGTTCACACAACATTGAAAAAAATTCAGAACTTCACATATCACAGCTGGATGTGATTTCCATAGACATTTTACAGATATTTTGAGTTAAAGTACACTGCTGTCAAGTACAGTTAACCCTTCAACCCCTAAGATTGACTGGCATCTAATTTCTCCCTATCATGTCACCCCTGAATCAAACATTAAGGTCAGGAGAATAAAGGAACTGATCACCAACTAAAGAAGCTCTTGATTGTTAAACAAATTCTCTTTGTCAGCACCTTAGGAAATGTATAGAGAACAGTATGGAGAATATGCATACTGATGTTAGGGTGTAAAGGGTTAATGTACCAGCATTACACACTGTGTACCTGTCTGTGAATGAGAACAAGAAAAGTGCTGCATCAGCTTTCTCTTTGAGAGCCTATGGAGAGAACAATGGTCTCCATTTACTAAAAGGCATTGACCAGAAACTAAAACAGCATAAAGGCCTTGCATGAATCCACAAAGCAAAATTTGCCATCCCTGCACTTCAGTGGCAACAAGGTGATAAAGACATCTTATGATTACTCTCTAATTTAGTAAAATTCACTGTTTTTGCTTCCCATCCAGAGGGGGGCAGGAATGTTGGCTAGACTACAAGGAGTCCCTTCTTTTGGCAAAAAAAAAATTAACTAATTAAATAAGAAATTCCTGAAAATAATAATAGCTATAATTCAAACTGTGTCTTACTGGTAACTGATGGTCATATTTTCTGATAGCATGTTCACCACAGTCCCAGAATTGAAGCTTAAACATCACAACTTTCTGATTCTCTTTCAGCTAGGTAATGAGATGAATTAAAGAAAAGTTTATTACTATAACAAGTTTGGAATAAAGTTTGTACACTGTCATTAAAAAAAACATCACCTAGGATATTCTTGCAAGATGGAGCAAGATATGAAGTTGATGAGGATCATGAAGTCATAGAACAGAGCATTGTGCTCATCTTAGCAAATATCTTTCATACTAATCAAAAAGGTTAGTTATTAGAGACTGCATCTTAATTTATTTAAGAAAAAAAAACACATCATGGTCTTGTGAGCAAAAATTATGTTTTTTTTTATTTTATCCATTTGCCATAGTAAGACAGCTCAGGCCTAGTCCAGATTTAAAAGTGGTTTTAATGGGGACTGTATAAACAACATCAAGGCCAAACCACAACAATGGGAGCAATGTTCTTTGCTAGAAGCGTCTGGGTTCTTCAGGAGACAAGGCCTATGGTTTATTGCTCTTATCTGAAAAGCCCAGAATGTCTAACTATTTGCAAATGTCACAGCAAAGATAGCACAATCTCCACAGTTATTTTAAGACCCTGAGTGTTGGTCCAGTCCGGGTTTAACCTTTGACCTCCCACAAGGCAGTTCAGCAATCTATGACATAAGCTTACCATGGAGAAACTTAAAACTGCATAACAGCACTGATGCTGAGGTTGTTTAGTGTGATACAAAAAAAAACCCTTATAGATAAAATAACCCAAGGGATTGAATATTTGCATGCATTGCAAAGATCTTAATAAATTATTTATCTGCATTTTGTGATATTTTAACCATATTTTGAAGAATAGGGTGGTTCACTGAATGCCAGAGCAATCACTGACTTTATTGCAGGAGGAGGAAATGTTCTTGTGGCAATCACTTGATCAATCAACAAGTAACACCAATTTTAAGTAGAAAATCGAACCAGGTACAACTTAGCCAAAGTATACAGAAATTTAAAAAAACTTGTTCCAGTGTGCAGCATTAGGCTAAACTAGACCAGATCTTTGTGTGCATGGCATATAAGTAGCTGACTTTACGTGTGAATTATTTCAGTGTGCCTCTTACTTGAAAAAAAGTCTTGTGCACAGAACAACCATAGTCTGGTGCCTACAGTTTACCTGAAGCCTACAAAAATGCTTTAAGGTACCATAATTGAATCAAAGTTCAGAGTGCTCAACTGATTATTCAACTTACTTTTGCTGGCCAGTATATCACCGATGTCTGAATACCTGGAGTTTCGACGTGATAACTGGAAATTTCTAAAGAGGACCAAAGAAAATTCTTCTATAAGACAACACAAATCTCCCTGTTGACACACCTTCAAACATCCACGAAACAAGAAACATTAACTGCTATTAACTTTCCACAAAGCTCTGCTTGATAGTTGCAGTACCTTGCCCTAACAGCTTTGCTACAGTACTCGTTTTTCCAACAGCTGGCTTCCCCGTTAAGAAGATCTTGTAGGACACATTTTCGACGGGAAGTTGCGGCGGTAAGCTTGGGGCCTCAAGTAATCCTAAAGATAAGAAAAAAAACCATCAATACATTCAAAATCATGATTGGATAATTAAAATTTTTGAGCATGGCATACCGAAAGATTTTCTTTTGTTTCGGTGCAAAATTCCTCCTAAAAACTCTCGTCCTTCTGGCGTTTCCTGCCATTTAAACTGTACGATAGACCCTCTTGGTCTAAAACCTGTCATATGAAAATAATTCTATATCCTCTTATACGCATAAAAGACAAAATTCACTTTATGTTTTGACCGCCATATTGGAATAATTGACGCATGGCAAGACTTAGTAGACTGATGGCAAAAACAGTAAATATTGCAGGCTCTTCAGGCCATGATCAGTAGTCGCGCCAGTCTCCCTCCGTATTAAAATTAGCTTCATGAAGCTGTCATGGATTTTCGACTGAATATTGACAAGAGAAAACACATTAGCGCAAGGGTGGTCAGTATGTTGGGAAAAATATCACTGCAAATTGCGGTTGAAGCTGTGGACTACTGAAGAATCTTTCTTACTGGTAAATATGATTTATGAAAGCCTAACTAGTGAAAATCTGGTGAGCCGATTTCTCTTCGCGCCAAAATTTTGAAGTGAGTGACGATCTAGTTTTTCAGGTGAGATTATTCTTGTGCTTGATTGCGATTTTTAGATCTGTAAATAAGCCTTCAAAATACAGATTGCGAACGTTTCTGGAATGAAGAGAATATATAATCCAAGTTTTTCTATTTTGTTTCCGTTGAGTAAGCTGTTTTCTTGGATCTGGAACGAAAGTCATTTTCATGACCGAAAGTGACGTTTTTGGTATTTACGAGTCAATGATCTTGTTTTGCAGTATCGGCACAAGGATTAAGCTTATGAAAGATCTGATAAATAGTCATTCGCACGTAGGAGGTAAAAAAACGCCTATATCTAGCATCAGATCATCGTTAAATTAGCCACATTTTCGTTCATCTAGAATCATAGTTTTTCTTATGTGTATTCACATTAATGGACCGAAGGCGTCGTAAACATATTTGTTCGTTTTTAAAATCGATTATTGGTTTCCACGCAGATCAGCCGATATTTTCGTCTCTTAGTCAAATCAATTGATAGCCATTCCGCTTTATTTCCTTAGGTAACGGATTGTCATCCACTTGTTTTTTGTTCTAGGACATTATTAAATTCTGTTCGAAAGCGATCGATTTGTATAAATGATCGTTTCACGATCTCTATTAATACATAATTCGCAGGCAATCTGAATGGAAATTTTACCATATTATTTATCTGCCAAATAAAAAGATTATTATACAAACATGTTCAGCTGCATTACAGATGAAATCGAGTTTGAAATTTTTGACACTGAGTGATTTTGAGTATGTTGCCATGACCACTTCATTACTTCAGAAGTATTTTGAGTTTGCATAAATTTTGTGTTTGCACATGGATGAGCAATTGCAGCAAAAAACATCAGAATTATAAAGTCACACAGAGAATAGGTCATGCAGATAAGCCTCATACAAACTTGTAAACCAAAAATGAAATAGATTATGATTTGTCATTGATTTACGTTTAATTAATAATTGTAATAAGACAGAGTGGAGTCCAGTTCAGTCTGTAATCACACAAGTGATTAACAAAATTAGACAAACACAAAGCCGGAGTATGATCACAGACAGAATTGGACTCTTCTCAGTCCTATTACCAATTAATCAAAACTATAGTACAGAGAGAGAAACTAGATGTCACTTATACATTTTTATTACAAAAACAACAATTAACTGAGCAAAATGCAAGACAACAGGATGCCTAGATGTGGAGTACTGTCCACTTACTCAGGCATCACTTGTCAACTGTGTTATTACACTGTCCAATTACAAGCATGATGTGTTCACTGTCCTATCAGTGCTCAAATGGGGCTGGTGATAACCAATCCCTTGTAAGAATTTTGTTATACAATGTCATGTAGTTTTGATTAATCAAGTAAGTTAAGTGTGAGTTCCATTTATATAAAGGCTGCCATGGCTACATATACTGGATTACTTGAGGTTGGCCTATGGCAACAAAATAATTCATGAGGACTGGTGCAAAATGGGCATTGGTCCAGTCTAAACATAGAGTGATTGATGGATGATATGTCCAAATGATGTTGATGGCACAGAAAATAAAACACTTAGCTAAACATTAAAGCAAAGTCATAGACTTTGAGGTTAGAGCCATCTTGATTATAGTGATTATTCTTGTAGGAAAAGGTGAGAGAAAAGAAACTTAATGCCAACTAAGATACCATTTCAAGTGGTTTACAGTTCCAGTGCTGATGACAACCATCGTGAGAAAGAGCTAGAGGTGCAGTAATAATTTAACCAACAAGAATATAGCATAACAGTGAATTACAACTCATTAAAAAAACCTGTCTGCCAACAGACGGTTGACAGTTGTAAATCTTTCAGTGATAGGCATTCATCATTTAATTGACTGTAATCATTATGTGTATTTATTGTTGTTTCTTATAAATTATACATTATAGGACATTAAATCATGTTCCTCAGTATATAGGTGTGATGTATGACCAAGTGCTGGCCATTCATTTCTGTTGTTTATGAGTGAATGCTAGATATGATATGTTCAGTATTTTGGTATGCATCCTGAAATCATGGTTCAAACAAAGGGGTAAACTCACTGTTCTTTGCTAAACACGACATATTTTTAGTGATTATCACTAACCTTAGTCCTTTTCAGGAGTGCCCCTGGCCTTTGCCATTGAAACTTCTCAATAAATATAAGTCAGTTCATACAGCATGCACAAACAGTTACGTATTGTGACCTCTCCCACAAGTTAAGTCATGTTGTTCCTGAAGTTGTGTATTTATTTTAGCTAAACATGTTAACTCACAGGGCATTGTTCAAAGTAATAAACTGGCCTCACCTGATTTTTAAAAATTCTTTCTTTAGTTTCATAGTCCCACAACAAAAGGATGGCAGTCATCCAGGTACAATACTGTAATAATTAGATCTGTGTATAGCTATGAAATCTGATCTTTCAGTCAATTTAAACTGGATGTTTTTTTTTTTTTTTACTAGATAGATAAATTTATTTTAGGCAATGATGATAGTTTGTTCTGAGGTTAATCTCAGAACATCATATCATCCGAAAAAATATTGTATCATATCTGTGATTTTTGTTATTGTTGATTTTAGACTCATCATCATTATCATTATCACTATTGCTATAATCATGCCTTCAGTTGACATTGTTGTGATAAGAATGCCAACTGAATTCATTGACTACTCTTAACCCAGGGTGAGAGACTCAATGACCGATGATTAGAGGTCTGGGTTCTAGTCTTAGCTGGGTCATTGCATTGTTGCATTGTTTCCTTCAGCAAAACACTTTCCTCTCAAAGCACCTCTCTCCACCTGAGAGTATGAATTATCAGAGAAGCCTGATGAAATGCTGAGGGACATTTTTGCAATAGACTGGCATTCCATGTAGGGGGGAGTATATGTGGTAAAACTCCTTGCTGCTTCATGCTATGGAAACTTATGACAACAAATAACCGTATTGTCCATCAGGTTCTGTCTTTATCCTCAAGAACTGGTGTTGCTGATGAAAGAGTCAGTGCGCATAAGGAAACTTCAGATACTCTCCCATCAGTTCATGATTTGTAAGTTATGTTTTGTGGTACAACATGTTAGTCATTCATCTTGTCACAAGAGTAGAAAAAATAATCTTAGTCTTGATGAGGAATTGAACCCCACACATAGAGAGCAAGCAGTTTTCAAGAACTTAAATGCATGAACCCAAAGCAAATACATGTGCCATGTACAGTGAAATGCATGTACCATGTACCTTTGAATCAAAGCAAATTTTGCTGGGTAGTATATTTTCTGGTTCTCTTCATCCAGCTTCTTGGCAAATGAGAATAAAAAGGGCTGTCATGCTGTAGAAAGTCACCTGCAATTAATCAGCAGGCAATATACTTGTCACTTTGATAAAAGAAATGATATATAAATGATTGCAGCTAGTAAAGTGGAGGTATTAATCAGCAAAGTACCTAGTGGACAGTCCCCATCATTACTGACATCCAAGTTTCAACGGCTTGGGTGAGTTAGTAAATCTTGTATCTGAAAATATGTTGTCAAATTGTTTAAATGATTGATAATAAATTATGATTATCATATTATCTAGAACAAAGCTTTATTAAAGGATCTTTTTTAGGAAAAGGAAATCTCTTTGAAAAGGTTCAGTTGCAGTGTTTGCTTAGATTTAAAACTTCACATACCTTCCAATTTTTTGCTTTTCTTTCACCATATTTTCCTACAGTTTTGACACTTGATCAATCCTTTGATAATGGAGATTTTCTTGTATTTGATAGTGTTTTGTACACATAGTCTTCCTGTACAATAGAATGCCTATGTACAGCTGTATGTAAGAGTCAATTTTGGTGTTATATTCCTTGCATCTTAAAGATACTGTAGAGGTAGATTGAAGATATAATGATAAATACATTTATGTGTTCAGTTACCAGAAAAGGATTCTATCATAAAATATGCCAAGAAACAGAAACAATCATAGATTGATTGGTTGTTGGACTACTGTTTCTTAGAAGTTACTTTGAAAAAGAGTAACTCTTAAGAGTATTTTGAAGTCTGTTAATATGACCATTCTCTTAAAGGTATGTTGGACTCTCAAACAATGAAAATACTGACTTTAAGGTAAAATGATTTCTAATTTGTTTGTTTGTTTGTTTTTCTGTTGTTTTAAGTTGCCTTATGCTGTGGTCAATTGGCAAAATGTGTAAACATGGCTATTTATTTTTAGAAGAACTGTAACATTTTATTTGATTTTCCAGGCCAGAGAACTGAAATCCATTCACCTGGATGCAGAGGGTCATTTTGTGAAACTAGTCTTACACAAGAATCATGTAAACAAGTACAACATTTACAATCAGGTATGTTACATGTGGGAGACTTACTGGCCTGATGTTAAGTTTAATAGACTCTGGGATGTGAGTCCTTGTTTGAGAGCTGGCTTGATCGATGTGTTGTGTTCTTGGGCAAAACAGTTTACTCTCACAATGCCATTCTCTACTCAGGAGTAGAAATGAGTACCACTAGTCGCTAGATATTTTGTATGGATATGCAGAATGCGCAACATCTCTTTGGAAATAAAAAACTTCCCCCTCTTCTTCTCACATTATAATGCATAACTCATTATTATAAAGAAAAAACATGCTTAAAACAAGCACAACACGCATTTACTTAGTGTTTTCTTTAATTCTGTTTACATATAATTTGA